CAAGGCTCTCCCAAGCCAGGGTGGTGTGTGGCCTCGGGCCTTGGCCATGGCCCCCCCACATCCCCAGCCAGCCCAGCGATGACCACCAAGCCTGACAAGAAGGGCCCCAGGTTCCCAAGCTGGGAAGGTGGGAGTCAAGTGCTTTTGCCACACCCCCGACATCTGCACCCAGCCCAGCAATGACCAAGCCACCACTGGAAGCCATCCCCACCCCACCCCCGGTCTCCCCTGTGGGAATGAGGGGGGGTGCCACAGGCCTCAATCCCCCCCCTTCCTCCTTCCTCCTGCTTCCATCACGTTTTCTTCCCCTTTTCCCTCCCCCCCCAACTGCTCTGCAACAACATCATAGAATGTAAAAAATATATACTAATAAAATAAAATAAAATAACTAAAAACTAAAAATATTACTAAGCATCATGAGTGAGATTAACTGAAACAAACCAATCCAAAACATTATTTTTCTTTTGTATAAAATCATAATGATGTAACTTTGCCACATACGAAGAATTAGAGAAATTCTAGATCTAAATTTAGGACTCAAGAATTAAAATTAAGAAATTAGATTAGCAAGAAGATGAAGCCTTTTGTATGATAACAGATTTTTTTAAATGGGACTTTTCAATTTGAAATGTTTAGGTTAAGAGAAGTTATGTATAATAAAGCAAAAGATTAGGATCAATTTCTTTGTAAAACCAAATGATTAGGATAAGTATTCTAAGTTATTTACACCTCTAAAATGATACAATTCTAGAAAAGTATAATTTTTAAACCCATCAATGATTCTGAGAATAGGTATTAATCCATATATGTCCTTTAAACTGAAAAGTTCTGTTAATTAAAATATCCTTTTAAATATAACCATAAAATATGAATGTATTGTAGAACAGGTGCCGGTTTCGTAGGGATCTTTATGACAGAAGATGAGACACCAAGGGGAACCTGGAATGAGCCAGACTTCCAGCGCTACCTTCATGGCTCGGCCCTCAGCCCGCACAGGTGATCTGCCTCTGTAGCCGGTCAGAGGGAAGTCAGAGGAGAGTGGATCTCAGCAGAACACTCGTGCGATCAGCCTCCCTGAACCTCTAGCTCCAGCTTAGCAATATCTCTGAAAACACATATTCTGTGATCTGGAATATTAATTAGCTTTATATCACCAGGCATGTTTGATAAAATTGCTAAACAGAGAGCCCTGTGGCAAATTATTAAACTTTCCTCCTGATGGACAATGACAACATTTGTTACAAAAAAAAAACAACCTTTAAATAGTATTTCTTACATAACTCTGAACCCTTATAAATATATGATCATCAATCACATTGATTTCTATCATTCCTAACAAGATATGTTGACTTTGCCCAATATATTGCTAAAACCAAGACACAGTCTTTCTCCTGACTTACCTTGATCGGCAGATCTAATAACCTAGATTAATGTGACATGACTTGTTTGATGAAGCCACACTGGGTCTTAGGGATCACTGTGTCCTTGTCTAACACCTCCTGAATGCAATCGCCTTCAGATAATCCAATCTTTAATTTTAATACCACTTCAATTAACATCTAACCCACAATTTAGAATTCCCAAAACTATTATTCTTTTTTTGGACATTAGAACATTTGTACGTATTTATCTCCCCAGGACCTGCCCTATTTTTCATAATTCAGAAATCACCCACTGTGATTGAATAATTATATATGCAATGAGGTAATGTATGTCAATAAGAGAAGGTGGCGCATTGCCTGAACATTAGTTTTCCAAACTGCATTAGTTCCCCTGATGAATCACACTCACAATATTTTTCATATCTGAGCTACGACATACCACTTTGGGGATCTTTGGCCTATCTGTGTACCCATTGTGTTTGATTACTTAATATTTTTCCTTAAAATGACTCTCTTGTTAAATAAATGTACTATGAAATGGAACTTTCCATCTCTACCACAAATGGAAACCCAGTACCATGCACCACAAATGGAAGGTAACCGTAAAGATAAGTAAAATAAATTCCATAGGTTTTTTACTCAATTCTGGTTGGATACAAGTGCCCACTGAAAACAGTCTTTGACCTGCTCTTTCTTAATTAAACATGGGGATCAGTAAATGAAATTATGGGGAAATGTATATAGCCTTTAATGATTTCATTC